CTTAGTTGGGTCCTTCTGCAGTTTTGGTATCAGGGTAATCTTGCTTCAGAAATGGATGTGGGAGTATTGCTTCCCTTACAATTTCATTAAAGAGTTTAAGAAGTAGTGCTGTTAGGTCTTCCCTAAATTTCTTGTAGAATTTAGTAGTGAATCATCAGGGCCTGGGCTTTTCTTTGTTGGTAGGCTTTTAATTACATCTTTGATTTCATTGATTGATATTGGTTTATTTAGGACTTTTATATCTTCTTGATTCAGCCTTGGTAATTCATATGTATCTAGGAATCCATTCATTTCTTCTGTATTTTCCATCTTATTGGTAGATGTAGATGATCTTCTGGCTTTCTACAGGGTCCCTTGTAATTTCACACTTTTTATTCCTAATTGCATGGATTTGAGTCTTTTCTTTCCCTTTTTTGATAAGGTTGGATAAGTATTTATCCATTTTATTTAATCTTTCAAAGAGCTGGCTCTTAGATTCATTAATTCTTTGTATTGTTTTCTTAATCTCCAGTGCATTAATTTCTGCTCTGAGCTTTATAATTTCCTCCCTCATATGAGCTTTCAGCTTAGCCTGCTCTTTTTTTTCTAGAAGTTTGAGGTTCACCATGATGTTGTTTATTTGTGCTTGCTGTTTTCCTGATATGGGTATTTACTGCTATAAATTCCTCTCTGAGGTCTGCTCTCATTGTGTCCCATAAGTTCTGGTATGATATATTGTCATTATGTTTTAATTGTAGAAACTGTCTAATTTCTTCTTTACTTTCATGTGTGGCCCAGTGGTTGTTCCTGGGGGTGCTATTTAATTTCCATGGGTTTATGAAGTTCTTCTGATTTCTTTCGCCATTGATATCCAAACTCATTGCACTATGGTCTGATATATTCATGGGACAATTCCAATTCCTTTGCGTTTACTTAAGCATATTCTATGAGCTAGTATGTAGTCTATTTTGGAGAACATCCGTGTGCAGCTGAGAAGAATGTGTATTCTGATGTTGTGGGGTGGAACATTCTGTAGACATCTCCGAAATCCATTTGTTCAAAAGCTTTGTTCAGTTCTAATATTTCATTGTTGATTGCTTGTCTAGTTGATCTGTCTTCTTCTGGCAGTGGGGTATTGAGATCCCCCAATACAACTGTATTAGTGCATATTTGGTTTTTCATGTACATTAATATTTGTTTTATACAGTTTGGTGCACTGATATTTGTTGCATATATATTTATGATTGTTCTCTCTTCTTCTTGGAGTTTTCCCTTAACAAGTATGTAGTGACCTTCTTTGTTTCTCTTAATCAGTCCTGGCTTGAAGTTCACATTGTCTGCAAATAGACTAGCTACCCTTTGCCTTTTTATTTAGGATTTTTATATCTTCTTGATTCAGCTTTGGTAATCAAGCTGTTGACTGCAAAGACAGAGCTGAGGAGATCTCAGTTGCTGAAAAGGAACAGGAGAATAGAAAGAATGCCCTGAGGGCATCCCAAGAAGCAGCAAGTCTGTTACATGTAATAAAGTTTTCCATCCTTTGACTTTAAGTCTATGAATTTGTTTTGAAATTAAATGTGTTTCTTGTATGTAGCATGTTGTTGGATCTTGCTTCTTCTTTTTTTTTTTTTTCTGGTACTGGGAATTGAACTCACAACCTTGCACTTGCCAGGCAGGCACCGTGCCACTAAGCTAAATCCCCAGCCCACTGGATCTTGCTTCTTGATCCATTCTACTAGTCTGTGTCTTTTGATTGGTGAATTGAGACCATTAATATTAATGTTTATAACTGATATGTGTTGACTTATCCTTGTCATGTTATTTTCCTGTTGTTGACTCCTCCCCTTTTTCCCTCCCTCTGTTTAATTGTTTGCCTTGCCTGGTGGATTCCTTCTGTTGGGGTTCTTGGAGTTGTAGCCCTTGTTATTTCTTTATAGAATGTCCTTCAAAACATTTTGGAATGCTGGTTTGATGGTCATACATTTCCTCAGATGTTTTTGTCATGAAGTTTCTTATTTCTCCATCAGTTTTGAAAGACAGTTTTGTGAGGTACATCGATTGGGATTGAAGGTTGTTTTCCTTTAGAATTTGAAATACTTCACTCCAAGCTCTCCTTGACTTGGGGGTTTGTGCTGAGAAGTCAGCTGTGATTCTGATGGGCTTTTCTTAAAGATGATTTCTTTCTTCTCCCTGACAGATTTTAAGATTCTACTCTCGTGTTGAATTTCTAGAATCTTATTATGATATGCCTGGCTGTAGATTTGTTTGATTGTGGCTAATTAGAGTTCTATATGCATCACTCCAGATGATGTGCGCTATGGCTTGCCAGAAAGTTTGTCTACATCTTGCTCATATCAAGAGCAAAGAGACTGAGATTAAGAGCAGTGGACTAATTAATCTAGTGGAAGAAATTTGAAGGCAGTTCAATGTTGAGGTGGCATGGCTATTTTTTTTTTTTTTTTTGCCAGATCTATGTTGAGAATCAAGAGGAAAGAGTACAGCAGAGTGATTTAAAATGTTGGGAGTTTGGCCAGCAGGATGCTCCAGTAAAGCTGAGGACTGCAAAGATAGAGTTGAAACAATCTCAATTGCTGAAAAGGAACAGGAGAATAGAAAGAATGGCCTGAGGGCATCCCAAGAAGCAGCAAGTCTCTACTCTTTGCAGCCTCAAAACTGCAAAAGTGAAAGACTTTGCTTAAAGGAGAAAGCCACAGAACACCATGTTCCAGAATGGTGGCAACATAGAAAATTTGTTCCTCAGATTTGGATTCAGAGTGCCCAGAAATCCAGGCACTTGAACTCTACAACCAAGAGAAAAGAAAACTTGGCTACTGCTCCAGCTGGCAGCAGACCTTGGCATGATCCACAGTGTTGGTTTTAGGTGCATGCAGAATGCAAGAGTTGTGGGGTTAAGAAGGTTTCCACCTATGTTCACACTATGACACAGTCAGACACACTGGGAAGTATACTTTATCAATCTCTCAAGTAAATCAAGGGACACAATGAGACAACAAGACTCCAGATAATATTTTCCTTCCACTGAGTGTTAATATGCTGAAACATATAGAGTGAGGAGGGACCCGCAGGACAGAGGGATCTCACACTCTGAAGTCGTTAGCTGTCACTGCCTTGCGACAAAGAAATGTTGCAGTGTATTGCGTGTAGGGCTGCATTTTATCAATTTTCTTTTCAAAAGAAAAAGCGGTGCTTTATCAACTACCGCACTGCTGTAATACACTTTAAATGTACAATAAGGTAGCCCTTAAATTTGAGGTGGTCCTAAAGGACAACAAAGGAACTGAATTCCAAATTTTTGAAATGGGTGTACTGCTGCAGTTAGAGGTATACATTTAAGAAAATCGCATAGCTCTTGCAAGACCACCAATGTAAATTTATTTTGGACATTTTTAATTGAAAATATAAACAGTAATTTTAAACGTAAAGAAAAACAGCATAGTAAAAACATACATCTCTCAACTAAATGTATTGGATAGCTATAAATTTTTGGGGGCGGGCGTGGCAGCGCACGCCTGTAATCCCAGCACTCGGGAGGCTGAGGCAGGAGGATCGTTGCGAGTTTGAGACCAGCCTGGGCTACAAAGTGAGCTCAAGGTCAGCCTGAACTGCATAGCGAGACCCTGTCTCAAAATTAAAACATCAGAATCCCTGGAGATATAGTTGAATGTGAAAGCCTTGAGTTCAGTCATTAATACCACAAAACAAACAAAAAACATAAACAGTCTATACAACCAACCATTTTGAAGATGACGTTGTGCGGTATAACAACCATTGTTAATATCCTATCACCATGTTTTGAAATTCTGTATCGTTTTTATTGTTCTCTATGCTGTTTTGTTTCTGTATTTGTTTTTGTTATGTTGTTTTTTTAATGAAAAACAAAATTTATATATATATATATATATATATATATATATATATATAAGGAAAATTGTTGATACTTAAGTGCAGATTAACTATCAGTCGCTCTGCCAGTGGCGGCGGCGGCAGGGAAGCCTGCGGTGGTGGCCGCCTCCTCCGCCTTGTCATTGCCCTGCGACGGCTGCCCTGTGTCTCTTCAGGTAGCAGCGGCCCCCAGAGCCACGGTGACGGTGACGGTGACAGCTGAGTGTCCTGGGTTGCGCGCTGTTTCTCTGCTGCCGACGCCGCCACCCCTGCCTGCGCCCAAGCACACATTTCCTCGGTTCACAGGCTCTTCCGGGGCTGCCCGCCCAGCGCAGGGGCGGGGAGAAGGCGGGGGTCGCGGTGCGGGGTGGAGTTACCCTCGCCGCCCGCCCCTTCCCTCCCCACCCGCTCCCCAGTAGCGATGATCCTTGCCGGAGCACGGAGGAGTACGCTTATTCTTAGAAATCCGCTTTTCTTTGCGACTGTCAAGCAGGTCACTTGTCAGATACAATGGAAAGGTTTGCTTTTCTTTCGTCTTGACTCTGCAGCAGAACGTTGCTGTCATTTAAATTTATTTATTTAGTCACTCAATAATTATATTGCTCTTGGGCGCTCTTTATTTTCTTGACTGGCGATGAATAGGTTGAGAGATACAGTACGAGAAAGTCTGGGCCAGGAAGCCACCCTCCCCATCCCGCATGTGGACCCATCACGACATCAGGCACTCCGCCTGTTCCACAGGGTCCTGACCTGGCCTGAACCAGGATTCCCTCCGTCGGGGAATCTCTCCGTGAGATTCGGATGGAGGAGCTGTCCCAACACGCTCGCGATCACATCTTCAGGGGCAACGCATAGCAAGAGCCTATGAGCCAAGTAAGAAGACAGAGGCAGCACAAAAAAGCCAGGAGCAGACTCTTAAAAGCGGTTCTCCCTCAGGACCGGCTAGGCTCACGTCCTGGGAAAGTCCAAGGTCTGAAATCTCGGAGTTAAAATCTATCCTTTGCGATCCGCTAGGCTGGAAAGGATTTGTAGCTGTGGTCGCCCTCGGCTCAGGGGGCGGGCGGTGGAGCGGGAGCCAATCAGCGATGAAGGGGCGGGCGGTACGAACTGTCCAATCAGGTGCGCGGAGGCAGGCAGGCTCTTCCTGTGTCATGGCGCTAAAGTTTTGGTCCTGAGCTGCTTGCTGGGATCTGCCCCAGCTGGCTAGACCGTCTTGCTTTATGACTTCTATCAGCTGCGAGCTGCGCGGGAAGGACCCCGGAGGACGCTGAAGCCGGGCCATGGTAACGGTATGGGGCGGGTGCCCTGAGATGAGAAGCGATGGTTGTGAGGTCTGGATGTAAGTGACTGGAGCCAGATATGGCGGCAGTGGAGCCTCTCTGTGCAGTTTCAGCCTGAGGGCCTCATTGTCGACAGCGCTGCATCACCCTCTGTCCCTGTTGCTGTGTCTGGGGCTGGGCAGCTTTGGGTCCCCAGACCCCTGGCTCTTCATGGTGACTTCCCAGCCTAGAGCAAAGCCTCAGGCAGCTCCAGCCTGCAGCTGTGTGTACATCTGCACAGGGAAGGCAGGAGTCGGGGGAGGAGCTCTGATTCAGGTGTTGGATCAGATTGGGTGCAGCTGTGGTGTGCAGGTCCCTGGGCTCCTTCCCGCCAGCCGCGGATCGGGGAAACCTGAACTTTGTCAGTGTCTGCAATGCAGGGTCTCAAGCACACAACCCCTCAGCCCACTGCTTGTCCAAGCTTTAATATTGCTGGCGATGTGACACAGCGATGGTGGAATGCTTGCATGGTGTGCAGTCAACTCCTGGGTTCCATACACAGCAATGCCAAAAAAACAAACAAAAAAAGAAGACTTCTTGATTAGTAGGTGGGGCCTCTACTCAGAGACTAAGTGAGACTTGCCCACGGAGTTTACCGTGGTGAGAAATATAGAGGGGATATTAATGTATTAGGAAGAGCATATGAAAATATTTCTGCTAAGGACAGCTTCCAGGAGGGCCTGTGTTAAACACACACCGAGAAATGCATTGAGCCCGGGGCCTTTACATGATCGTGTGATTTTTTTTTTTTTTTGGTTAATGAGTGGACAGGAAAAGGTGGTATCTCATAAAATTGCTATAGTCTTCTATCTGTTTTTAGACATTGTTTTAAAAATTGAAATGCTAGGCTGGGCACGGTGGCTCATGCCTGTAATTCCAGCACTCAGAGGCTGAGGCAAGAGGGATCACTGTGAGTTCGAGGCCAGCCTGGGCTACAAAGTGAGTTCATGTGAACTGCGTAGTGAGACCCTGTCTCAAAAAAAAAAAAAAAAAAAAAAAAAAAAAAAAAAAGAAATGCTAATTTAGGTGGACTTCATATGAAAGGAGTCCTGAGTAGCCTGAGTAGAGCTAATACTCCAAATGTACAGTGTGCAGGCATATCAGTCATTATTCATAAAAGGGTTTTCTGTGTGGGGAGGTACAAATGGGAGCAGAAAGAATGTGAGCTGGGAGGGCCTGACCGTGGGTGGCAAAATCAGTATGTGGAACAGACAGGGTAATTTCCTGAGGTTGGATTACATGACAACAAAGGAAGGGTTGTGTGCTGAGCCTGGTCTGAGAGTGGGTCAAAAATCACTGGCCTGAAGGAAGGAGAGGAACTTCATAAAAGTTTGATGATAAATATTTCTTCTGTTAGTGATTAATATACCTTAACAGTTTTGAGGAAAATGTAGAAATTAGGGGATTGTCTGGACTGGTCTGGGTTAAAAAATTTTAGTGGCCCTGATTATTGAAGTAATGGGAAAGAGTTTTCCGGGATAGAAAAGATTGCAAGGTGTGGTTGACTTTTTGTGTTACAAGGGGTTAAATTCAGAATCTTTGCTCTGAGCTACAGCCTATGACATGTTAAATTTTTCATTAAAGTTGAAACCAGGTTTGAGCAAGTTGTACTGGTAGGGGTATACAGTCAACTCTTTTTTAGCCTCCCAGTGTGCTGGGATGACAGGCATGTGCCACCATGCCTGGCTAGAATGGAAGTTCTTTAGTCACCACTAGTTGCTAGGGTCACAGTACTTGGATAAATTATGCTGCACTGAGGCATGGTGTTGTGTACCTCTAGTCCCTGCTACCTGGGGTACTGAGACAAAAATATTATTGCTCCAAATCCATCCTGATTAATTCATTGCACAAGGTCCTATGTCAAGATAAAATAAAATTCCTGTGGTGGTTTGTCCACACTCATGCAACTTTTATAACATGCACAGTGACCTTAGTTCAAACTCTAGTAGTATAAAAGAAAAAATGGTACGGATTTAGTAGAAAATTTGAATTTAGAATTTCATTCTGTTTGTACACTAGCGATGTACGGGACAATACTTGCACATGATGCTCAGCTGCAGCTGTGAGTCCCTGCTCTTTCTGCAAAAAGAAAGTAAAAACAGCCAATGATTTACAGTGTGCTGTATTCAGTACAGTACATAAAATACTGTATTTATTATTTTATTGTGAAATATACTTCGTGTTATATAAATTTGCCCAACTACCTGTCACTGTAAGTGTTACAGTTTTAAAGAGTAAAGGCTTAGCAATGATGTTCACTCGATTAGGTATAATCAGTGAGTTTTCAGTACATTTTACTTTCAACTTGCTTTGGTTTGATCAAGATGTTATGTCTAACTCAAGGCACATGTCCAGACTCTTTGCTTCAATTCTTAGTAAAGCGCTGGTCTGTGGAATGTAAATCTTGTAAGATCATTTCCTGGGCTGAGTGCTGTACTAATCAGGATCTGCAGAGGAACTAAACAAGGACAACATTATGAGTAATCTTTGGATAAGGGAATGGTACACTCTTTTCCTATTACAGAGAGGTCACCAGTCTGTTTATACTGTGTGGTTTACATCACTAGAACAAGGAGATTGGATAGAATGACACAGGATTGAGCAGTTTGACCACTAGATAGAAAACATCTACAATGCTATGGAGGAAACAGTTTCATTCCTATTTCTAATTTATGCTGATATTAGAACCTTTCTAACTTCCTTAACCTTGGGGCAAATAACTGGTTTTCTATTCTGGGATGCTCTCTCTCATCCTCCCAGTGCTTATTTGCACTTAATGAGCCGAAGACATTCTGTCCAACATTGTCTCCTCCAAGACTTGCAGTTCTTTCACCTTTCTGGCAACTAATATCCCTCTGGGGAAAGAGGTGACCATGAGATTTTATTTTTTTCATGCATAGTGGAGACTACAATCCCTGAAGTCCCCCTGAATACTTCCTGCTTTCCCCACACTGAGAAATAGCCCTTCCTATGTTGATATCCTGGAGAAAACCATGGGAATGGCTTAATGAGAAGGGCACAGCTGAGGTAAAGCACAGAGCTTCAGTTAGTCAGTAAGTCAGCCCTTACTCTGGCCTCTGCACTCCCAGTGTGTGTTATTATAGTGCACAAGCCATGGAGCCTTTTCTAGGCTTTCGCTCTCACAACAGCAGGAAGGCAGCCCCAGTGGACGGGACAGGAGGAGAGAGTATGCAGATGCAGGCTGGAAGCAGTGTAGGTGGAGCCACTCAGCTTGGTTTGGGGTGCAAAGCCAGAGAGATGGCAGCTCTGAGAGTTTTTGTTTGCCCTTTCTAGGTACTTTGTAATGCAGAGCTATGTGTCCTCTGCACCTTTTACACTGGTGGATTTAGCTACCGTTTTGTGTTCTTTTTTTTTTTATTTTTTTTTATTTTAAAGAATAAAAGAAGGATAACATAATAATAGGGGGGACTTAGCAAATTACCGACAAAATGGTGTGAAATTATCAATGGTTATCGTTTTACATATTATTATCTACAAAATAGTTTCTCAGGAAAACAAATAGACAAATAATAGTGAGTTAGAGACAAAAGAGGTAG